CCCAGGATCATTCCCTCCCATTCCCAGGATCATCCCCTCCCATTCCCAGGATCATTCCCAGGATCATTCCCAGGATCATTCCCTCCCATTCCCAGATCATTCCCTCCCATTCCCAGGATCATCCCCATTCCCAGGATCACTCCCAGGATCATTCCCAGGATCATTCCCAGGACCATTCCCTCCCATTCCCAGGATCACTCCCAGCATCATTCCCAGGATCACTCCCTCCCATTCCCAGGATCATTCCCTCCCATTCCCTCCCATTCCCAGGATCACTCCCAGGATCATTCCCAGGACCATTCCCAGGATCATTCCCTCCCATTCCCAGGATCACTCCCAGGATCATTCCCAGGATCATTCCCTCCCATTCCCAGGATCATTCCCTCATTCCCACCCCATCCAAGGCCATTCCCAGGATCATTCCCAGGATCATTCCCAGGATCATTCCCAGGATCACTCCCTCCCATTCCCAGGATCGTTCCCTCCCATTCCCAGGATCATTCCCTCCCATTCCCAGGATCATTCCCAGGATCACTCCCAGGACCATTCCCTCCCATTCCCAGCTCATTCCCGTGGATTTCCCCCCGGATCCGCGCTCACCTCGCAGCGGAAGGGTTTCTCCCCTGAGTGCTGCAGCGAGTGCACCTTGAGGGACATGCTGCGCTTGAAGGACTTGCCGCAGGTCTCGCAGGTGAAGGGCATGTCCTTGGTGTGGGCTGCACACACACGGGGGTCAGGCCGGGAAAATGGGATATTCCCAACAATTCCTGCCCATAACTTCAGTACCCCCAATTTTAATTCCCCTGAATATTTAAATTTCCCTGATTATTTCAATTTCCCCGATAATTTAAATTTCCCCAATAATTTCAATACCCCCAATTTTAATTCCCCCAATAATTTTAATTCCCCTGATAATTTAAATTTCCCCGATAATTTTAATTCCCTTGATAATTTTAATTCCCCTGAATATTTAAATTTCCCTGATTATTTCAATTTCCCCAATCATTCAAATTCCCCCATAATTTCAATTCCCCCAATTTTAATTTCCCCAATAATTCTAATTCCCCTGATAATTTAAATTTCCCCCATAATTTCAATTCCCCCATAATTTCAATTCCTCCAATTTTAATTCCCCCAATAATTCTAATTCCCCTGAATATTTAAATTTCCCTGATAATTTTCATTTCCCTGATTATTTCAATTCCCCCAATAATTTAAATTTCCCCAATAACTTCAATACCCCCAATTTTAATTTCCCCAATAATTTCAATTCCCCTGAATACTTTAATTCCCCTGATAATTGAAATTATGATCATTTTAATTCCCCTGAATATTTTCATTTCCCTAATAAAAAATTCTATATCCCTCAATATTTCAATTCCCCTGAATATTTTAATTTCCCTGATAATTTCAATTTCCCCGATAATTTCCATTCCCCTGAATATTTTAATTCCCCTGATAATTTCCCCTGATAATTTTAATTTCCCCCGATAACTTCAATTCCCCTGAATATTTTAATTCCCGATACTTTTCATTTCCCTGATAATTTCAATTCCCCCAAGTTTAATTCCCCTGATAATTTCAATTCCCCTGAATATTTTAATCCCCCTGATAATTTCAATCCCCC